GGTTTTCAGCAGTCACTGTAAAAGAACTGTGGCTCAGATCAGCAGTGCTTGAATTGCATGTAAATGTGTTTGCTTATGAATGAAACATCAGTTGCTGAACTGTCTTGTTTTTAGGAAGCTGAGGATGGAGTAATTGTTTATGATGACTGTGGAGTAAAACTGACCATTCCTTACCAGGCCAAGGATGTGGAAGGATCTGCTAATCCTCAGATAGGAGATAAGGTAATAAAACCAAGTGTACCACTGAGAAATATTTTTCTGTGCATTGTGAGATGCAAACTTCCCTTTGCCATGTTACTGGGTTTGATCTCCCTCTTGGTACAAATGAAGGATGAGGCATCTGCGTATTCTCACCTTTTTTTTTTTTTCTTGCTTCTGTCCTAGGTCTGAGTGGCTTAGTCTTTGTAAAACTAAGAAAAATATTCTAAAACCTGGTGACACATACATGAAAAAAGTGTCTTAGCATGTAAATTATGCTTTTTTTAAACAAGAAATTCTTACTGAGTCAGTGGCCTCTGCTTGTGAATGATCAAGAGGAAATTAATATAAAGACTTTGACATGATTGCTGAAGAGGAAAAAACTTACCCTTACAAGCAAATCACTGTGGGCCACTGCTAATACATGTAGTGAAAGGAAGCAAATCACATTAAGATTCTCATCTTTAATGGGTAAAAGAAGCTGAGTGCTTGAGGCTAGCTTGCCTTGCAGATGTCACTGGTGTGACTGCTACTCTTTGGAATGTAGTAAATGCTAATGTCTTACATGTTTCTGGTAGAGTAGTGGATAGAAGATTATTTTCCTTGAAGAGCCCAGTTATCGATTAGAGCTACATATCTTTGAAGTGAGGAGTTCCAGGGTTTTTTTCCTTGGGTTTTTGTTTTGTTTTTCATTGGTGATTATGGTGTTGGTGGGTGTGGTTTGTTTTGTGTTTTTTTTTCAATCTGATATTGGTACACTTCTCTCTAACAGGTTGAGTTCAGTGTTTGTGAAGTGAAGAGAACTGGTCTGCAAACAGCTGTTTCTGTCAGAATGCTGGGACGCAATTACAGCTCTAAGAGACTTTTGGGCTATGTGGCAGCCCTGAAAGATAACTTTGGATTTATCGAAACAGCAAATCATGATAAGGAGATCTTTTTCCACTACAGGTGAATGGCTGTTCTATTATTGTTTCTTGAGGGGTGGGGGAGTTTGGTAGGGTTAACTGTTAAACCCATTTGAAATTCACACACATATATGCTTGGGTGTCTCTATTTCCATTTATTATCACTGCTGGTCTGGTTCAGGCTTTTTTCTTGGTCAGGTCAGCAGTCTTGGTGTTCTATGCCTCTGAATTGCAGGCCAAGATATATAGTTGTATATTTGAAATGCTTCACTGTATTGAATGAGGGCTTCATGAAAACGTGCAGTGCTAGTTAAATGTTTTATGGTCGACTTACGTAAATGTTGGATGAGCATCACTGTTGTCATGTAACTGAAGGAAAATTATACTCTATTCCTGTAGTGAATACTGTGGTGATATTGATAGCCTGGAACTTGGAGACACTGTTGAATACAGCTTGTCAAAAGGCAAAGGAAACAAAGTCAGTGCAGAAAAGGTGAACAAAACTCATGCAGGTAAGACTGTCCCTGATACTTTCTGTTTACCAAGGCTCTTGGATAAGCTGTCATTACTTACTGCTATGTTAAAGCTGTTGAGTTTTACTGGGTGATAGAGGGCATTGCCTTAGGTGTCTTGCAGTTCAAACTACTGGCTCCTGGTCAATCTTAATCACTTACTAATTGTTTTTTAAAATAAAACATTACTAAAACATCCTGTTCTTGCACTGTCTTTTCAGTGAATGGTATCACTGAGGAAGCTGATCCAACTGTTTACTCTGGTAAAGTAATTCGACCTTTAAGGAGTGTAGATCCCACACAAACTGAGTACCAGGGCATGATTGAAGTCATGGAGGATGGTAAGATTTGTTGGTTTTAAACTACAAGTGTTCCTTTCACAAATGCACAAGAGGCTTACAAGTTTAATAAGCTGTAAATAGAGGTGTTGAGCATTATATTCATACTACAAATGATATTCCTGCTACTAAACTTGAAGTACAAGTATGATTTGTATTATTGGAAATAAGTTCTAAATGCCCTGAGGTAGGAAAGGATGCCACTTAATTCTGTTTTGTACTTTTTCCTCCTCTAGGTGAGATGAAAGGAGAGTTCTATCCATTTGGAATTGTTGGAATGGCAAACAAAGGTGACTGTCTGCAAAAGGGAGAGACAGTAAAGTTTCAGCTCTGTGTTCTTGGTCAAAATGGGCAGACGATGGCTGTGAACATCACGCCCTTCCGCAGAGCTACGGTGGAATGTGTGAAGGACCAGGTGAGTGAGGGCTGCTGCTGCTGTGAAGAGAAGATGCATGTTAGTAGGTAATAGCTGCTTGACTTGGCATAGAGCAGATGAAAACCCAGTCCAGCACTTGGATCCAGGAAGCTTCTTCACAAATGGATTGATTTGTACTCTGCTCCCAAGGAAGCAAGTTTATGTAATGCAAGTAGTGGTTTATACAAGCCTGTGTGGTGTGATTTGAGTGAAGGTGAACTCAGTTCTGGGTTTGGTGCCAGCACATCTGCAGTCCCTGTTGGGGTTGATTCTAAGAACCTGTTTTTGAGGAGTCCTATACATTGATCTAAATAGTTTCTGTTGAGCAGAGCTTTGAAAAAAGTCTTCAAAACAAAACTGAACATACTCTGCTTCTAGAAGAAGTTTCTTTGTAGTATTCAACAGCCAGTTATTATACTCCATCTGAAACGTGAAAGCTGATGGTTCCCTAGTTAGTATCTAATCAGCATGTTTAGAAAACTAAGTGCTATGAATGCTTTCTATTTTTATAGTTATTCTGCAGCACTAAGCCCTAGTCATTTATGGAGATGCTAGATGACTTCTGCTGACATACGGATGAGTGGAATGGTAAATGGAAGTAACTGACATGTTATGCCAGTGACAGGCCAAAAAATGGGGTGGTTTCTACTGTGAAACTTTTCAAGTGGAGTCAGAAAAACCATGTAGCATTGCTCTTCTCTGTTTAATACAACTGCCAGGACTTTGGCAGATTTCAGAACTTGTTCTGCAGACTATGCGGTTTTAGTATAACTTTACAAAGCAAAGAAGAGTGCCTAGACTTTCTGAAGTTATTGTTTCCAGACAGGTTTTTTTCTAGAAGTAGTTAAACTACTCATATGGCAGAAATTAGTAAGTCATTGCATCTGTTTGAGGGGGATTGAGAGGGAAGAAATAACCTTACAATGTGTTGGTTTTCAGTTTGGTTTCATTAACTATGAAGTGGGTGACAGCAAAAAGCTCTTCTTCCATGTCAAAGAAGTTCAGGACGGTGTGGAGCTACAGGCTGGGGATGAAGTGGAGTTCTCAGTAATCCTGAACCAGCGCACAGGAAAGTGCAGTGCCTGTAACGTGTGGCGTGTCTGGTGAGGATTTAAAGTTATTTCATCTAACACACATTCATCACAGCCATGGGATGCATGCTGCTTCTGGACTGGAGCTTGCTGTTGTAGAGCAACAGCTCTGAACTTCAGTCACCTTTAGTGAGAGTCTCTTGCCTGTGTTTAAAGTCACAGTTTTGAAGCAGACACACGCAGAGTGATCCAGAAGGCCCCTCTCACATGAGGCAAATGATGATAATGGCTTAATGGGGGAAGGGGCTCAGTGTGGTACCTCACCCCATCTCTGGGAATTCACAAGTGCTCTGTGGTTGGCTCTGTTACAGCGAAGGCGCCAAGGCTGTTGCTGCTCCTCGCCCCGATAGACTCGTTAATCGTTTGAAGAGCATTAATCTGGATGATGCCAGTGCCCCTCGTCTAACAGTTCTTCGTCAGCCTCGGGGACCGGATAACTCAAAGGTACAGCTTGCTCCAAGACTAGCTGGCACAGTAACTGCTATTTGTGTCTCAACTTAGGTAACATAATCTTGTGTCCTGCCTGTATTGGGAGCCTGAGCTGTTTGCATCGTAGTGTCCATGTTCATTCTGCAGTGAACATCTCATCTGCTGTGAGAGCAGGTTGTGTTTGTGTGAAGTCGGGGGTGCTGGACCCTGTGTCAGGATTGTGTGCTCTGGTCAGAGTAGCAGCTTGTTGTGCTCTAGCCCATAATGGCCATCTTGATATGTTTTTTTCTTTTATAAACCTGCTCCCCTCAGAGACAGTAAGTGAAATAATTTCATCTAAACTTGGCTTTCACATAAGGGTCTGAGCATTTGGTAAGCAGAGGGACCAGGAAGTGTCTGGGACCTGTGATGTGTCCAGGAGTATAAAGAGCAACTTGCAGAACCTGTTTTATTCCTGTTTCTGAAGACTACAAGTGTGCTCACTCTACTTGGTTGGGACAACAGGTTTACAGTTTGATGTGGGAGCTAAAAATTTTTGTTTTTTTGCAGGGATTTGGTGCAGAGAGAAAGATCCGTCAAGCTGGTGTTATAGACTGACCCCCAACCCCTCACCTGTGCACTGAGCAGTGGGGCTGGTGAAGGGCACTGAATTCTCCCTGTTCGTCCCTTCCTCCAAATTCTAAGAAGCTATTACACCGGTTTTAACACCTTCTCATGTTATGTTTAAAATAAATTTATGAAACCATTTTAAAATTATGCACAGTTGCATTCTGGAGAACTTAAGGTGGCGCCTTATAGTATCACATTTTAGAAGCTTGTTTTGAATGGTGCATTTAACGCAACTGGTAACTGCAACTCTACATTGCCTCTGTGAGTAACGTTAGAGCTCTGCTCGGGTCAACCTTATGGAGTTCTGCACTACAGTGATCTCTGCTTTGTCCTTCTTGTTTTGGCCAAGGTGTTACTATGCCTTAGTGCTCAATTGCATTAAGCCTTTCCTTCCCGGGGGAAGTGGGGGCTCACTTCAGCTCACTCTGCTCAAATTCTGAGGACCATGTGAGGGTGAAATAAATGCAACTTTATACAAAATCTGTATGAACATTCTTAAGTTGATGGCCAAATGTTACAATGTTTTTGTATTTCATTTAACTTGAGTCCTTTAGCCAGCAAAGTTGTTAGAGCTCAAGGGAAATCTCTGGGGTAGACTTGTTTTTGTAGCGTTCTGAAACACATGCAGTGCAGAATTTCATAAGGCTGAGGTGTGCCATCAGTGTGGTAATTTAAATATATTTAAAACAATGCACAAATCTGCTGCTGCTTAGAACACTGCAGCTTCTCAACCCAGTTTCTTTTACTGATTTAAATTTAAAAAGAAAGAAGTTGTGCCTGAAGTGAATACATTTTTTCTTCTTTGCAGCTGGCACCCAGTGTACTGTAAGAGAATAAATTTAGGCTTTCCATAGCTGTTCTGAGACTCATCAAGGTGAAATAGTTGATGTCTGTGTGCTTTTTCCCCCCCCCCCTCCCTCTCCATCCCTCCATTCCCCCAGTCACACTTTATGAAGCAAGAAAACGGAATGATTGGTCTTGAATATTCCTTTAACCAAAACGATCGCGAGTTTTGTTCTTGGAATAGAGGCAGGACTGTGGTTTTTTGTTTTGTTTTTTTTTCATGTTACCTCTATTCTCAATTTAGGGTTTTCTTCTCTGGGAGATGCATTATCTTTGTAAAACAAACATTGCTTTCTCCAATTTTTTCTGTTAATGGCAAAGAATGGAAATAGAATAAAGTTTTACTGATTTTGAAAAAAGCCTCAGGCCTGGCCTGTCTCTTCCCTCCGCCGCCGTCACGTGCCCGGAAGCGGCGCAGCCCAGGGCTCT